GCAGGCAGTCCAACCAAAAGACACCATGTAGATTCAAACTGCTTGACAGCTGGAAGGGACAGTAAGGTGTCTGTTGCATATCCCATTATAATTAAGAAGCCTTTGAAAAAGCTGTAGGGACAATCCCTACGCAACACAGTTCAGCGCTCCTTGCCATAACTCAAAGTATCAAACTCAAGCCTGCTAGAGAAATAGAATCATAGACTCATTTAGGTTGGAAGGGCCCTTAAGATCATCGAGTCCAATCATAAACCTAGCACCATCAAGACCACCACTAAACCCTGTCCCTAAGCACCACGTCTACATGCTTTTGCATGACCTCCAGGGATGGTGACTCAATATAAAAAATACTCATGATCAGTACCCAGGGATCTATAAACTGAATGCACAGTGCTGCTTCTTATGAAAAATGAAATAGAGACAGGAGACAGCAGTGCCAGGAGATGACGTACCAATACAGGTCAGCCAAAGGCAGTGCTGTTGGTGGATTATCCTGCAGACCTGCGATGCTGCAAAAGGCTGGCAGGTGAGAGGAGAGAGCAGAATCAGTGAGGAAGGATGGGAAAGAAGCATGGAGCAGAGGTGACCTGGCATTGCTGCCTCTTCCCATGTCAGCTCTAAGGGTGATGCACCTTATCCATCCCCTTTTGCCCCCAGTAACTCCTGGGGAAGAGATGAAAATATCACAGTTAGTATGAGTTTGCTCTGGAATTCAGGGGAAGCAGCAGTTCATTCTGTGGGGCTCTGCATGTATGGCATCCAACAGAAGGAGACCTAGCATTTTTAATACTCAGGTTTTTAATACTCAAGTCTCAGGGGGCTGTTAGAAGAGAAGGAAACAATTATGGTAATTAACAAACAGAAGAATGCTATTGATAGATGCTAATGCTCATAGTAAAAATTAACAAGGATCATGACAACCCACAGTACAAAAAGCCCCTCCAGAATTAGAAGACCTGTACAAAATTAGAATTCCCACTGAGAAGAGATGAAGCTGATGATAAATTTGACTGTAGTCAGATTTCCTGCCTTGTTTCAATATTGTACACATCAACAAATAGAGTGGATTATCTCAAATCTTCTTTATTTTCTTGCATTTTACTAGAAAACAGAAATTAGTTTTTCAACACTAGACCTACTTAGCCAGATAGAAATGAGAAAGTGCCAAGTGTTTTTTCTACTGTGCCAATAAGGACTTGAAGGAATCAGTGACTATCCCTTGATGAATGAACTTTCCCGCTTCTTATTAGCAAGCGTTAGCTGTATCAGAATATAACCAGGGAGTGGGCACTATTTCATCCTGCTACCTTTCATCCTTCACTAGTGTTATGACATAAATTGCTATGATATCATGGCTTACTGATCAAACTAATGGAAAACTGACATCATAACATATCGCATAGCAAAAGAAGCCCTGTACTGTCCGTCCATTTACACAAATAGTAAAAAGACTGTTTCTTTTGTCCACTCTGCTTATATTTATAAAACGTTGCCTATAATTTCTCCACTATTATTGAAGATACAAGATTATTTTTGCTTAAAAGTCAGTCAAGGAATATTTCTATGTCTTTTGGGAATAATCTTTGTATTTTACAAGGTCAAGATCTAACTGTAATGCAGAATGGGTGCTGAGCTTAGGGTTTCTTTTAAACTCTCTGAAAGTAATTTTCCTAATACAATGAAAAATACCAACAATACACAATATAAAAAAGGACAGCTTCAAGCTAAGACCTAATGCTTGCAGATACTGTTCAGCAGTAACAGACACTCAAAGACTATATGGATATCAATAGAAGCTGCAGGTAATACTTGTCTCCTCTGATAAATGGACTAAAAATGCATTTTCTTGCATTTGTGAGAGCATGTTCCTAAGTACAGAGATTTCCAGACTTATTAAAATCCCTTTCAAATGCTATGATGCAAACACGTCTTTGTCTAGACTCCGAAAGTAATTTGACAAAACTTACTGTTTCAGAATGAAGATTTATCAGAAAATAGGAGTTCTGCTGAGGTTTCAAAAATTGTTGGCCTTTCACATTTTAATGATAAGATTGTATCGATGTTGTCATGAAGAAATGAGAGATACACCTACCCAAAACCTGCTCATTAGACTCGTGTGGGAAAGAGAACAGGCGGTTTCAAGTGCTGGCTTTGGATGAGTAAGTCCATGTACCCTGGTGTATGCATCTGTCTTCCCTGCTGTTGTTGCACCAGTTGTTTCACGCTGGGGCTGAGAAACCTTGCAGCCATAAGTTTCACTAAAATCCACATTGCCGCTGAAAGGTCTTGGTGTGTACAGCATGTCCCAAACCTATCTCTTCCAACGCTGATGGGGTCTAGAAAGACCTATGCGGAATTTATTTATTGAGAACCTCTCTTATGACTATTGACTTCTCTAAGTGTAATCATGCTTTAAATATTCCACCTATGTACAGATGACTTTGAAAGACTCTTCAAAATCCAATTGGATTATTTCAAGGGTAGCTGCAGGAAATACTACGTAAAATTGTAATTAAAATGTGGTTTAATGGCATTTGCACAATTACTATATGAGATTTAGTTTTAGCATTTTTACATTTCTACACATTCAGTTGAATATATGTAATTCTCAACTACGTCTACACGATGTGAATTAATTTTTAACTTGTCACAAAATTATTTTAAAATTTTGTTACGTGCATAATATTTTTAGTTTGATGGAAAAATTAATTTAATTGTACTAGATATAAAAGTCTTTAGGACATGCAGAGGGCTGTAGTTTGATGTGCTATTCTGGACAATCTTGGGCAAAATGTGTCTTAGTTAACCATCAAATAGGTAGACCTGCATGCTCGATGTTAGAGAAGACAGTTTGCCCAGCATAGAATCATAGAATCATAGAATCATAGAATCATTATGGTTGGAAGAGACCTCAAAGATCATCAAGTCCAACCGTACACCTGATGCCACCCTGTCCACTAAACCATGTCTTGAAGTGCCACATCTAGACGTTTTTTGAACGTCTCCAGGGACGATGACTCCACCACCTCCCTAGGGAGCCTGTTCCAATGCCTAACGACTCTAACAGTGAAGAAGTTCTTTCTAATGTCCAGCCTGAACCTCCCCTGACGCAACTTGAGACCATTTCCTCTCGTCCTATCGCTAATTACCGGGGAGAAGAGCCCAATCCCCACCTCACTACAACCTCCTTTCAGGTAGTTGTAGAGGGCGATCAGGTCTCCCCTGATCCATATTTCTTTATTATTTGATTATTTGAATTATTTGATTATTTGAATTATTTGAATTTTACTGAAACAGTAAACAAATTGGTCTATTTAGATCATCTATAGCAGCAGCCATGTGATGTCATCTGGAAACCAATCATTGCTTTCCAGTCTACTGCCCTAAGTGAGACTTGAAAATCAATAGTCCTAGAACTACTGACCACAGAGGCCATTAAAATACCTGCTTGGGGTTTGTTTGGTTGGGTTTTTTTTGCAGCCTTCTTGTAGCCTGAACTTCCTGTGCAAGGTTTCAGCCTCACATCTTTTTTATCTTTTCACTCACATGAAAAGCTTCCTGAAAGAAGTTTCCTCCAGGTAAGAACAGAGATGTTAACAGGTCAAAATTATTTTCAAGTGTTAGTCCTGGACTTGGATCCAACCTTATGATTTGAAGCCAAAACTTCAGACTGGAAAAATAAAAGTCACAAGTATGGCTGCTTGAACTAAATCAGGACATAGTGTACAACATTCCTGGCTCAGTTTTGAATGTGTATCTAAGATGTAAAAATGAGACCAAATTCTAATAATTCTGAATATTTGTGTATTTTTTTTAACAGATGGAGTGTGTCTTGGGGGGCAGGGTGGGAGGAAAAAAAAAGAATGAGAGCACTAATAGTTGTAAAACTGACTTCTTACTGTTCAAAAATAAGATTAATCTGTTGCTGTGAAAGATGTACACATCTATATAAAGTTAACAACTACTTTGTGTACACCTAAATCTCAGCCTAAACAAGATAAACTTTCATGAGTCTGGATTGAAATGGTTCAAATTGTGTTAATGAATTTTCATTTCCCAAGCTTGATTCGTGAAGTGACAAAATATGCAATCCTTGAAGCCGCTCTGTCCTGCATGTCAATCTATAGATCTGTTTTATTACTCTCTAATCAAACCTTATGTTGCTCCCTCATGAAACAGCTCCTTTATAAAAAGAGGGTGTGTACATGTTACACATACCCGACTGCCACAGCAACAGAAGATCTGAAGTTGGAAAAGATTTCCAAACTCTTGTATTTATGTCTGTGCTCCATGTATAACATGAGCCAGAAAATACAGATACAGAGCTGTGTTGATTAGGACTTACATTAATAAGGAATGCAGAGAAAGAGCCGTGCCTCCAGCATACACCATTGGTATATTTTTCCTTGCTATTTTAAATTAGATCTCTGATGAAATAATAAAAAAATGCCTTTTATTGCAGCTTTTCTTTTTAATTCATTATTCCTGGTAACTACCAATTGTTCAAGGCTCACAAACAGAGCATTGAAACATTTCCTTTTCATGAATGAAGTTCTGTCCAGCCTGCAAACAGGGACGTCATTTCAAGAAAATGCACAGAAGTGCAGGGGAAGATCAGGAACTGCAAATGAAAACAGAACTTAAAAAAGGACAGCTTTGTTTACTTGACCGAAATAGAGAAGGTAGCAGAACTAGTTTTTAAATTCAAATTGGAAGGAAATTTACTAGAAAAAGAGAAAATCTTTCTTCTGCTAAGATCATAAAATCAGCTTTAGTCATAAAAGATGTTCTTGTAAAGGCTTTTGATTATTAATAGTTGTACTAACTCAGAACAGCAACATTGCAATGCTTACTAAGGTAACCTCTCTTCTCATACAATAACTTTCACCAATGATGTGCTTTTTCCTTAAAGGAAGGCGGAGTTAGGAGTTAGTGTCGGGGCCATAAATAAGAGGGTCCTATGTCAGGGAAATTAGAAGTCAGTTAACATAAGCGTATACTCAGAGTGAGCATTAGAGGGCTTTTCTAAACCATCCGTGTCTGTTGAAATCGAACTGCACGCGGAAGAAATCAGCTAGCTATTAGAAAGTTTAGCTAGAAAACCAACAGTAAGAAAGCATTTTCTCTTGGCTGACCAGTTAGCTGTGCTGAAGGCAACATGAGCCGTGTAGTTAGTACCTTGCTGTTTTCAGTGCTTCTACTTCTGACCCACAGAATTGAGGAGCTGGTGGAGGCGTGCAGCTGTGCCCCTGCTCATCCGCAGCAGCTCATCTGCGACTCGGCTTTAGGTGAGTTGGAACGGCTTACGCGCTTTCAACTCGCATCGTAGGGAATCAAACGGGGCTACTCTGACTGCTCTGAGGGGGTTTTGTACAGCTGCAGAGGAACATGTTTAACCAGGTGGCTTAGTCTCTCGCAGGATTTTAAAACAAAATGACTGTAGAGATCCCTTTTAGAGAGGGCTATGGAAAAAAAATGGTAGTAGCTGCTCTGCTTTTCTTGTATTTCCAGAACGTTTTGTGGTTACAAATTGTTGAAATTGCTGTATTATTTAGTGGCTGGGGGGGGTTTTTTTTTTTTTTTTTTTTTTTTTTTAAACAGGAACACCTTCTATATTAGTTCCTAACTTAAAAGTAAACCGGGAAGAATACCTGAACTGTTAACAGTATCTGTAATAGAATTTTCTATCTCAATATGTCTGCTATGTGTAAACTATGCATATAGATATTTTTAATAGCACTTTGGGGGAAAAGAGAAAAAAAAAAACAAACCAAAATAAAAGTCCCCAGTGATAACATGTTGAAACACTTGATCTTTGTTCTGCTCTACTACAATTTCTTTAATTGATTGTTGGGTTTTTTGGTAATTTTCAAAAAATACTTGAGCAGGAAACCGGTGGGCCCTTTATTTTCTGCAGAAAAACTGGCTACCGCAGTTCTGTATAAATATAACTTTCCAGTTTTTCAGTTTTTAGGAGAACGGTGTTTCATGATATTCAGTCAGCACTGTGGTTGTCAAACAACTTATAGAAAGAATCTAAAGACCTCAAAATTAGACTACATGGGGATAAGAAAATGTGACATTTTGCAGTCTTTTGATTTCATTAGCTCAGCTAAGGCTGGTTAGCTTCCATCTAGTGTGAACAGTAAATGTAGAACATGAGTTTCCAAAGTGTCACAAAATTAGCATCTCTATGGGGCCGGCAATACCTTCTGCATACTGATTAATTGCTTTTATACCCTGACAGAAAATCTTTGTGGCCATGACAAACTCTAAGCTCTGTTTGTGGCCATCAGTTAAATTGTTTTTTAATCTGCTGGTGTTAAGCAATCTTTTTCATTAAGTTACCTACACCAGGCATTACAAACTTGGGGTTGTTTAAGGTGTGAAAGAAAACAGAAGTTGTGCTACCAGAAGCTTAAGTATGTATGTCTACATTTAACTGTATTAGTCTGCTGCATTCCTTTAGATAAGAAAGTGACAGTTTTTCAGCAGACTTAAAGTAGAGATTTTCCTAAATAAAGAATTTTACAGTACAGAGGAAACTCAAAATACTCATTATGAGCCATCTTCCTTAGGGGAACCATTCTGGTCATTCTGATGATATATGTTAAGATTTATTCCATTCTTAGATACATTTTACAAATGGCAGCTATATATTACTTTTTGTTTATATTTAAATACTGAAGATTGTAAAAGAAAACTACTTTATATTTCGACTTGATGCTCAAACTCTCACTTCTATAAATATTCCTGTTTAAGTAAACGACACCTTTTGGCTAAGGAATGTTTATATCAAGGATCCCTTTGTTTAATATTTATAATTTTAAGATAGCATTTCTATATATTATGAGAGATGTAGATGTTCCTTCATATACATATGTGTATACGTATTTTGATTTACGCATTTGCATATATCTGCACATAAAGCCTCCTCTAAGCATTTCCAGATGAATTATTTGTTTTGCTTTGGCCACAATATCTTGCATCAGCAGACCAAAATTCCTTCAAAGAAGCTGGACAAGACCAGTGGAGTTGTCTGCCCTGTGTAAGAGAAATCTCCACTAGCCAGTCTGGCAAAGACAGCTCCTCCATCCCTGTGGGCTGGGCTGCCCTTGGGAAGGTGTCAGCACAAGGCTGGAGCCCTAGAGACAGCACCATCCCCTGGGGATTAGGGCTGTGCCTCTTCAGCTCTGCTTTGTTTTAAGCAGAGCAGGTTTGAACCCACACCTGTGGCCTTAGGGTAACCTGGTTCTTACGAGGGACTGTGAAAGCCAGTAAGTATCCCATGCAGTAGCATACCTCAAACTTCTCCTGTTAATATCACCATACTTAAAGAGTTGGTTTTGTTTGTTTGGTTGGTTTTTTAAGATTCAAGATGATTAAAGAAGATCCATACTTCAATTTCAACATTTTCATACTTCCAAAATAGTGATAAACAAAGAAAGGGATTCAGCTACCTAAATCTATGGGAGTTGAATGCTAATCCAGCTGTTTGCTGAGACTATTCCATTTTTTTCAGTCATTTTTAAGTTCATCCATCTATGTACCCACAAACGCATTCAAGTATTTCCTTGCAGAATAAAACCCTAGCACATCTTACTAAAAAAAAAGAAACCATGCCATGCCTCTACATTCCACAGTAAAATAAAAGCTGAGCCAAAGTCTCAGTCTTGCTCATAGAGCTACCGACCATTATATGCAGTTCAGTTACTGCATAATTTCTCACTATATCTCTGGAACATTTTTAATTTCCTTTAGGATCACTTGTGATTTAGGTACAGTGAAAATGGACGTGGAGGGGGTTGAATCAATAGACATTACTTGAGCCACTAACTGAATGTGTGATGCCACTCAGAACCCATAGCATTTATATGAGATACCCAAGCAAAAAACAATCAGATAAATTAATTAGGTCTGGGACAAGCTCTTTTCGCTTTTACTTTTGTTCATATGATTAGTGCTGTGACACTTAGTCTTTTACTGTCAGGAGGCTTTTGTGGCTCTTCTTTCTTTCTAAATACCCACAGCTACCACACAACCTGAGTAACTCAATAGAAGTAACAGGCCTTCTGACAGACCTCAAGAGAGCTTCTGGTCCTGCAAGGTGCTGGCTAAAACTAACATAAGGAATGAGTGAAGAGCACTGCAGGTGTTACATGGTTGTACACCGCAGGAAGAACAGTAATGACGGGTAGTAAATCATGAGTACCATGCCAGTCCTGCCATTTATCTGACCTTGGGCTGGTTCGTTAATCTTCCAGGTAACCTTAAGAGGGTGTGATTTTGTACAAATTTGAGCAGTTTCCATGAACTTCTCATTTAAATTTCAATTCAAAGAGAGGTAAATCCTCATGTGTAGGAAGTGCCTAGCACCATGAAGATACACACCTTTCATAAAAAAAAGGGGAGACACATTCCTCTGGTGTTCTTCTAAATGGTGCTGAGGCTCTCCTAAATGTGCTGAATGCCTTCAAACTCCAGCAAACACCTATACTTCTCAAGAGGACTTTCACTGGAAATGGAGATGGGAGGTTTAATAAAGAGCAATTCCATGTACTGCACTGCTAAGTATTGGTGCTGCCCCCCCGCCCCCTGGCAGAATCTCAGAGGCTGTCTCCTTACAGAAATTAAACGTGATGACGATGTGCTGTTTAACACTTCAAATTCAGTAGCGAGGCACCATAGTTTGAAGCCAATACAAGAAAATTCCTCTGCTAATGGCTTTTTTTGGAGAACCATGGATGCAAATGAGTTTATCAGAATGTCAAGATAACAGGTTTCCCTTTTGCCACTGTCTTCAGTCTTCCTGGACTCAATTCTAAAGCAATGTTCACATCAAACTAGATAATCTGTGGAGAGAAGTGGTATTCATGGAGAGGACTGATTCCATTCTGAAGTCTGTCACTTTTAATTCATGCTGGTTTTTTCCCCCTTAGGCATAAGCAAGGTTATTTTTTGGACAGTGGGACAAATACGTAAATACTTTACATTTCTTAGCTATGTAACACCAGTACCCTACCTTTAAAGTTAGATGTATTCTTTCTAATTTTAACTTATTGGGTTTTTTCCTTAAACTTATATTGAAAATTATATTTTTATTGAATATTGGGCACCACACTCCAATAGAAACGACTAACAGATCTTAAGTACAAATAAATATATAATACAGCTTCAGAGAATAGTTCTGTAGCTTTGAAGAAGAGTGGCACATTTCAAAATATGATGGAAGGTTTACAGCTGGAGCTTGGCAGCATTTTCAGCCTGTTAAAATCTCATAAGATCACTGAGATCAGGCATTGTAAAGATGTGCCAGATGATATATTAAATTTTAATCACATTTAAAAATAACAGTAAAAATTTTATTTAAATACACCAGAATTAAGTTTTCAAAGTCAGCTCCTCTGGGATAAAATTACAATATGCTATTTCTTTATTATTGAATTTCATATTAAAACTTTCATGGTTCAGTGTCCCACGATTTTGCCTCTCTGCAATATAATATCTAGTTTTGTACTGGAATGGATTAATTTGCACATTATTAGAGTGGGAAGTAACTTTGCCTGATGGAAAAAAAATCAGCATTGGAAAATGTATTAGAAATGTAGACAGTACTTCTTCCAAGTTAGGGGAGGAAAAGTGAACAGTGAAATTAAAGCAGACTTTATATTTCATTCTTACTATATTATGTTATACACACTCACCATATTCTTAATCTTACAGAGTCCACTTGCTGAGAGCAGTGTGATTATGCAGATACTGATTATCTGCATGTTTAGGTTGATCAGCACCTTCACTGGGGGGGTTGACACAAAATTAAGCAGCTTTGCAGTTAATCTTCAGGTGTTTGGGAGTATGGTGTTCACAGAAACAGTAATAACCGTACCATGTAACAAAAGACCATCAAAGACTGGGCTGCAACAGTCCTTAGTCTTCTGTGAGGGTTTCAACAGAGTCTCATAAAACATCCCAACTCTTGAAGCCATTGCTTGAGGGAATGGGGAAGATGGCCTTGCTGTAGAAGGCTGTTGGCAGACCCTGGTGGGATCCTAGGCTGCAGGCCATGCTTTCAGACGCCCCACTGACACGCATGGGGTCACAGAGCTCACATCTTGGAGTTGCCTACAGTCTTTTAGACTTCTCCTCCATAGCATGGAAAGACTGTAGTACTTGGCATATGATCTGCATTTCTATTACTGTCCTGCCAAATGGAGGCAGATCTTACTGCTCCATAGTAATGTCCTTCCTCTAGAGTTGAAATCAGTGGCAATTATCCACAGGTATGTTT